AAATGTTTTGAGAATGATGAGGGCAATGAATGTACAAATGTGCTTTACACAATTGATGTGTGTATGGATTGTGATAAGAGTTGTATGAGCCCCCTAATAAAATGATTAAAAATAAAAAAGAAAGCAGAAGATATTAAAAACTAGAACAAATTTTTTAAAAAATTTAATTAACTTAACTCATTCATTTTCATTGATAAGTTAGTTTTAGAGCCAGAGAGATATTTTATTTGGTTGATGGTAGTAACTAAGCCTTTATTAGAAAAGTCATCAAAAATATTGATTGCAGAAAAATAACTTGTTTTTGTTTTCTTTTATTAAAGTGAAGGTTATTGGTTTGATTTAAATACTAAAAAAAAGGAGTGCATCCGAATTCTTCTTCCCCTAAAATGTAGCCTTTGTCCAGTACACTCAGAACATTGTCACTATGTTGAGACTCAAACTCAAACAGGAAAAGGACATCATGCTTGGTAAAGTCAAGGGGTAGCGAGAAAGAGGAAGACCCTCAACATGGATTGACACCATGGCAACCATGGCCTCAAACATAAGAACTCCGCGGATGGCAAGGACCTGGCTGTGCATTTTTCTGTTTTACATAGGGCTGCTGTGAGCCGGAACCACCTTGATAGCACCTGACAACAACAACAACAACACATGGTGAGACCTTGGTGGCACACTAGCAAAACACTGGGAGGTTGGTGGTGCACATCCATGCAGCATTTCAGCAGGACAAAGCCGAGTCACCTGTCCCTGTAAAGATGGTGGCACAGACACCCTACGTGGCAGCTCTACTCTTTCCCACAGGGTCAGTTTGGGGCTAAAGTCGACTTGGGGATACCCAGCAGCACCAACCAGGTGGCCCAGGAGTTGCTACGTGGTGTGCAAGGTTTCCGAGAAAGTGGCAGATCTCAAATTCACCCCGCGCTGCCTTGACATAAAACCTTGGTGATCTGCTTCTCACAGTTCACAACCTTAAAAACCCCATGGGGCAGTTGTACACTGCACACACACGGTCACCCTCAGTCGGAACTGACCGGGGCAGCAACAAGACCACATGTGTAAGGTAAGAGGCGACTAACTTGAGCACCACACGCAGAGGAGCTATGATTAGTATGGAGATTGGTTAGCACACCTTTCTCCTCCCCATGTCCTCCTGCTCCAGTTAATGCGAGGGAGAAAGAAAAAACATGAAAACATGCCCTCCTTTGTGCCTGAGAGCCGAGGAGCAGATGGTGGGGAAGATAATGATGATGGGATTAGAGCAAGATGTTCGGTGAAAAGAGACAGCTGTAGCATGAATGTTAGCTGACAGGCTTCAGGGTAAGGATAAGAATACCGCAAATGTACAGCCTCCAGGGAGCTACAACTACATTTCTACTTTGGTTCCTTTTCCCATAGGAAAATTCATGAAATCTCAACTCTGTATTCCCTTCAGACCAGATCTATATCAACCCACAACTACAGTGGCCTGGGTCTTTAGTAGGCAAGATAAAAATTAATGAGCCTTATAAATATATCCTAACACAAAGAGTCTTGGATATAACTTGGCCCATAGCATTCGCTGTGCTAAGAACACACGTCCTTTCTCATCATCAGGAACAAGGCTTCTTTGAGAATGGAAAGTGTGCCTCATCCCGAAGGTCCTCTTACAGACCGATGGTCTCTCGAGTTCTGGGGAACTCTTCGCTGTCTCCTTCCAATCTAAACTTGCTCCGCCTGCTATTAATGATCGACTGAAGCCAGGAGGTGAGAGAACCACTTCTCCTTGACCAACTGTGAAGTGCACGGCGAGGCATCCTGTTGTGAAACCGGGTGGTGTATGGACCGACCAAGTTCTTATCATAGTCCTTCAGTCGGACAACAAAAGCCAGCGAGCGAGAGGAGTCCGAAATGAGACTGACCCGTGGAACAGTGCCCAAGATGGAAACAATTCTACATATCCGGGGAAACTCACACCCAATGCGCTAAAGTTGACTCCCGCTCAGGGCAGCGAACCCAGAGGCAGAGCAGAGCCGCCTCAAGGAGCTTCCGAGGCTGTAGACATGTACAGAAGCACACTGCTCCATCCTCCTCCCGAGTAGCAGCTAGTGGGTTTGAACTCACTGCACCACCTGGGCTCCTGACATCCAGGGAAAACTGCCTCCAAATTCCTCAGTAAGGACATAAACTTGGGTTAGCAGTTTGTCAGATTTTGTTTTTAATTTTAAAGGTTTAGAAAATGTCAAGGATAGAAAGGCACATCAGTTTTAATCTCCAAAAGCAGAGACATTTCTCCCACACGCAGTACTTTCACGTTAAAACAAGAAAAACTGCACGAAGCAGAGGCCACACGGCCTCCATCACGACTTATATCCCGCTTGTTCGTTTTCTGCTGCTGAGCTTGAGATTTATACATCACCATCTAAACCGGAAGCTATGAAATGTTAAATCCCAAATGGATAGTGTACATTAAGTATATTTCAGACAGCACAGATGGCGGGGTAGCCGTCTGTAGTTTTCAGTCTGTATTCATGCTCAGAATAATTAGTTTGCATAACTAGATATACATACACATACAATATGCACACATACATATATGAGGTAAATATTGCCACAAAATCACAGAAACCTTTTTTAAACAAAAATATCAGAATACAAAGCTATTATTTCCCAACATATCCTCTTCCACCTGGGTTTATATATTCCTTAAGGAATGTTTGTTATCTCTCAAACCCTTTCCTTATGAATTCTGCACTCTTCGATTCATACCACACCAAAATGTGACTTAAATCACATTCCATTTCCATGTTCTTTGAGTTTGGGGGATAAGAAAGTGTGAAGGCACTCACACCACTGGTCCTGTAGGGCTCATCCACCCTGAATTCCCTGTATTTTCAGTTCCTATCTGTACCAGTATACATCCTCTGGTCTAGCCAGACTTGCAAGGTCGAATTCGAGTCATGGTAGTGGGAGCAGGGAGGAAACATTTAGGAACTAGAGGAAAGTTGTATTTTTCATCATGGCGAAACAGGGAGGGTAGAGGGAGAGTGGGTAGGAAAGAGGGAACCGATGACAAGGAACTATATGTGACCTCCTCCCTGGGGGATGGACAACAGAAAAGTGGGTGAAGGGAGATGTCAGACAGGGCAAGATATGACAAAATAACAATTTACAAACTATCAAGGGCTCATGAGGGAGGGGGGAGCGGGGAGGGAGGGGGAAAATGAGGACCTAATGCCGGGGGTTCAAGTGGAGAGGAAATGTTTTGAGAATGAGGGCAATGAATGTACAAATGTGTTTTACACAATTGATGTGTGTATGGATTGTGATAAGAGTTGTATGAGCCCCTAATAAAATGATTTTTTAAAAAAAGTGTGAAGGGGCACAATCAAAGCTATAGAGTGAACATGATAAGATTTCCCAGGAAAAAATCCCCTAAGATAAGCCTGGCTCTTTATTCCTGAAAAATGAGTAGGCTCACTGTGGTGATGGAAAACAACAACAACAACAACAACAAATTTCTCAGCACAACTCTCCCGGAATTAACCAATAAGGTTTCAATGTTCTTAAAAGTTCTTCATAAGCTCCTATTATCATCCTGTGTCTTAAAAAGAAAAAAAACAACAATCAAGACTGTCCGTTGGGAATAAAAAACAGTTCCATGACCTGAGCTATATTCTTTTCCTTCGAGTCAACTGGCCCAGGAGAGTCCCTCAGAAGTCACCGAATATACTCAATGATTGGGTAGACTAGATTGGATATGCTATTTTTTGAAAGCACCTGAGTTATACTCAATTAATATGGCTCTTCCAGCTATAATCCTTTATGCAATATATTATAATTCCAGATTTCATATGCCTTTGGCATCTGTCCCATTTGGGAAGTCATTATCTGCTAATGAATAGGACTGGCTTGAGTAAGACATGCCACCTTAGTAGGTGGTGTGGAACGGGAAACAATATGCAATGGCTTTCTGAGTTACTGTTACTTGTAAGGGAGTTAAGGAACGATATGCTATGCCGAGGGGAGAGAAACTGCTTCTGGAGCAGCCTGGAAAAAAGCCTGGCTGATTAAGATTACTAGGAAGCCAATGCCTGGAATTGGAGACCTCCTGCCAGAGGTGCCAGGTCTTATAACTAAGATACAGTCCGGGGGTGGAGAACAGATTATTCTCTCTTTGAGTGAAGGGTTATATGTTCATTTGATTGCACCACTGCGACTCAATCGCCTCCCATGGAATGGCCTCTTCCTGCGTGGGTCTGGTAAGAAGGTGGGGGAAGATACTGATAAGATTCACCTGTGAACCAGAGG